TATGGCTGTCCTGTATACATATTTATGTGCTCTTAGTTTTGCTTGTCAAGAACAAATCTAGACTGGGTGTCCTGGCTGCCATCAAGACCTTACAAATTGACAGTTCCTGCACTTCCACAGGAAAAAAACAGAGTCAAGTTGCACGTCTTCTCCATTCATTTTGTTTTCTGCATTTTAAGCCAATAATTTGAAAGAAATGTGCAGAACCAGCTATTGCTGCATTCTATCTTTCACGCCACTTAAAAACATATTTTTGGCCCCCCACACTTGGACCCAGACAGCCCAGATAAAGTGCTCAGCTAAAGATAAACCCTTCCCCAAAACTGAGGAATATTTCAAGTTTGAGCCTAAGGGCAGTGGTAGAGGGAGCTGGGTGTGGCAGTGATAATTTCCAAGCTCCTTGCTTCTAGTAATTTCAGCTTATATCATTATTTTGAGGCTATTAGCTGGCAAAAATGAATCCTGCTCCAGTATTATGCGTTACCATTTTCCTGTCTAAATACTTGTCTTGTTTTAATAGCAGTATCTGGATACTGCTAAAACATGAAGGGAATTTACCGCAGCAGATGTGTACTTGCAGTGAGCCTGATGTTTTTAACTCTGTAATCTTTGCTCTTGTACACTAAAGGAAGTGACAGAGATTTTTAAAGGTAGAGTGCAAATCCATCAGGATGTTATGGGAGATTATTTGAGAAAAAGCTTATATATATATATAAAAATACTTAAAATAAGAAACATGGTTTCTGTTCAACTTCCTTTAACAAACTTCTGGTAAAATTATAGTTTACCTCTGCTAGGATATGTGAGAGAGATGCCTGAGAACCAGTAATGATTTTTTAAAGTAATTAAATTACCAATTAGAGTTTCCCAGTTGACCTTCCTGTTACTGCTGTGTGATTAGCTTGGGTGTTGACAAACACATGGTTCCTTGGGGAGATTCTTGAGCAAGTCTATTTTATGTATGCATTTCTTTGCCCATGTGGCAGATTGATTCCTTTTTCCTCTTACAGTAGTGTGCCTGCAGTAGAAAGAGGGCAGTTTTGGAGCACAGGCAGTATAACTCAAGGAAGAAGTCAAAAGGAAGGTGGTGTGGTTTGGGGTAATGTTGGAGAAATGCTGAGGCCCTTTATGTTTTAAAAGCAAATGCATTGGTGAAGATGTGGGAAGTACAATGGGTTTTCATTTTATTCATTGGAGAAGGTCATTATGTCCATAGGTCATACTGTCTTGAGAACACAGTGGTGTGACTAGTTTTGGAGATGTTAATTGTAAATATGCTTTTTAATTAGTATTATTTTAAAATAAATAAAGTCGTTAGATCAATTTGTTGTTTGTTGAACTTCCAAAATATCATAACAGCTTTTAAAAGATGAATTTTTAGCACAACTTTGAAAAAATTAATTTCTTAATGAAAACTTGAGATGCTAGACTACAGAGCTCAGCAGCCTGTATCCTGCAGGTGTGCCTGTACTACAGAGGATATTGTGTGAACAAGCTGCTAACCTTGTAAGCCTCCCTCCTATTTACAGAAATTGAGGCCTCATTATGTCAGTAAGAAGACAGACATGGTTTGTTTGAGGTTCACAAAATTTAAACACACCTCATCGTCAGTGTGGGCTTTACTTCTGACACATGGCCATGTTTGCAGTCTGTGCTGTTTTACAGCCATCCCATTCTAGTCCTTTGCTTCCTCATCTGGATGCCCTGTTAGTATAATTTTGGGGAACCTTTGCTCCCTCATTTTTCTACCAAGCTCTCCCAAGCTGTATTTGGCTTGAGATCAAAATAAGACTACCAAATGTCTGTTTTGCCTTGTCCCTATTATTTTTCTCATAGATTTTGTTGTAATGAGAGAGCAGTATCAGATAAGCTAATCTGAGGATTTCTTGTTGATGTTTGTTTTTCATTTTTCTTCTTCAGTGTCCATAAACGAACTGATTTTGAGTTTTTTTGCCTGATACTGAAGACAGTCTTACCTGTTCCTTCAGAAAAACAAAATTCTCATTTGTTTGCTGTCATCGTGTATCTCTAGACCCACCTTCCATTTTCCCTACTTCTTCCAATTCAGCAGTTTTTAGTTTCATCAGGCTGTTTTTCTACACAGTGCACCATACCAGCTACTAGTCTGGTGCTACTCAGCGTTCCTAGCCTGTGTCCACCTTGTGCATCATGTTCATGGTACAGCTATTGCATTATCTTTAACTGGACAGTGATGGGGTTCTTAGTACTCCATTTGTTGTACTTTAAAATAAAGCCTTTGGGTTTTCTGTTTTGCTGCTGTGTGTGCTGCAGGGAAGGTGGGGCTATCATAACATCTTCCCCCACAAAAGAGAGGTAAAGGCCTTGCTTGACAGAGGTATTTCACGCAAAGGCAGAACGACAAAGTAATAAATAACAATATGCTGTTAACAGTCTATTACCGGTAAGGTTTGTAGTTTGAGATTATGTTTCTTATTTTCATCATTGAAACTTGTAAATAATATGCACATTTTCTTGTTTATCTTATTTATAAACTCAGCTTTGCAACTCCATTTTTTCCTACTACTTTGCGTTTTAATATAGGCAGTTTTTAAAATCAGGTACTGAGTAAAACATTTTTCTGGTAGTTTAACTGCTAGTTTCTCACATCTGTACTTTTTCCAAGAGATCTTCTCTCTTGCTCAAAGCCTAATTCCTAAGGTTACCACCAGTTCTGGCTTGCTATGTCTGCATGCAGCTCTGCAGACTGGAATTGAATTCCCTACAGTGCTCAGTGTGATTTGTAGCAGACCATCACTGCAGAACAGGCTGGAGGCTGGCATAATAGATCGTTCCGGATACATCCCACATGGATATTGAGACAAAGTTAAAAACTAAGGCTCTTCCATCCTAGTGGTGTCACTCTGCCTTTTCCTTCCCTTCTTCTTGAGTCTCCCTCATCCCTTAAGACCAAAACAAACAGTTTATTTTAGTTTTTATTTTTATGTTCTAAATGGAAGATCTTCATGGTCATCCAGCTTTTCCCTGACTTTAACAGTGTGGGGAGTTTTGTTGCTTTTTAAACCCATGGACACTAGATGCAGAGGGATGTCAGAAGATATTATTTACATGGTCATGGAGGCTTTTTTTCTTGATATAAGGAAGAAAGTCTTTTAGTGAATGAATGCAACGTATCAGTTGAGAAGGCTGAGGCAAGTAGATGTTTTGTTGGTCTGTGTGGTGACATCTTCCTACTTCTACCCGTTTTATTCAATATTTTCCTTGTAAAATAGAACAGAGCAGTTAAGCTGTTCTCTAATATTTGCTCATCTGAACAGCCTACATCTCATTCTGTCAGGTGTGCAAGTAAGGATTTATGGAAGACAAGGGCTGTGGTATCTCTTCCTTGATTGCCTGGCACTGGTATAGATTAGTGTGGAGTGTTTCCATTTAACAGAGCAGCCTGTTCTCCCATCATGGCCAGCATCAGGATCTGTTGCTGAGGTAATTCTGCTTGTACCCAGGTAGTTCACTGATCAGCTTTGGAGAGTAACAGTTCATGAGAGAGGAGGGAACTTCTGGTAGCCACTATTTGAAAGGCTGTTCGTAAGTTTATGTAAAAATGGTTTTGATATTTGACTGTGAACAACCTTTTAAACCTGTCTTCCATGTGCATTGGTGTAAGGCTTTGTTGCTATAATCTTGGTATTCAGTAAGTTAAAACAAAAGATGAAGTTTAAGGTGTTAATGATGACAAAGAACCCCCACAACTTTCTATATATCAGTTAAGGAATTGTTTGTTGTTTACCCTTTTTGTTATGTTTTTCAGTACAAGAAATGACTTGAATTTTTTTCCTGTGTAAGAAATAAGTTTTAACTTTGGTAATGTTCAAGTAGCATTCTTTTCATGGTTGATTTCTCATGCATATCTTTAATGTTACAGGTTAGGCATGCAAGTACTCTGAAAATTGATCCAGGAAGAATTAATACACTTTTTATCTGTTAATATTTTTATTTTTAAAGTATGTATTGCTTTTTTTGGGGGGAGTAGGATTTTTTTTAAGTGATGCTGCTTATCTGATAATTTCAATCCTAGTTGAATTATGTTGCCAGATTGTCATCAGAAGGGCATGAAGTCAGCACACATGCGTCAGTAATATCTGGTTGTTTTAACCTTATGTTTCCAGTTGGCAATTTGAAATTATGGCTTCAACTGCACTTTAAATATGTGATAATAGCATGTGTTTCTAATAAGGGCCAGCACCATTTTGTTCAGATACTGTGAATGGTTGTCACTCATATATGACAAATGCACCTTCATCTGCTTCTTTGATGGCCCCCTAAAAACCATACCCTCAAATCAGGCCGATGAAATTAGCTGCTGTGTAAATTGTGTGTCTGAGTGGTTCATTATCTAATCACCGTCAGAACCACAGTGATAAAGTAGATTGAAACAGGGACGAGGTCTGCCAGATGATTTCAGGCCTTTTTTTCTAAGCCCTGTTTCCCTTGGAAACACTAAGAGTCTTTCAGAACTTCACAATTCTTTGTCTAGAACTTCTTCATTTCTTAATGCATTTCTTGGGCAGCCAGTGAGGTCTGCTGAGGTGATTTGAAAGGTTTTCTCTCCATCATTCTTGTAATCATTACTGTGTGTATTAAAATGTTCCATAATGTTCAGTTTAGCTATTGTGTTTGCTACTTCTGGGTTAGATACTGTAAAACACACCAGCTATTTTCAGGAAACTGCTCCAGCCCGTTCCTTTCTAGGAGAATCTCTTAAATGCTCTAAGTCCTGTCCTGAAATGGCAAAGTGCCATGCTTTGGATATACAGAGAGGGAGCTTTGGATCCTGGAGTGGATGTGTAAATTAACATACTAAACCAGTATGATATAAAACATTGCACAGGACACTTGTACATGGGTGGGACAACCATGTGTCTTTTCAATTTCAAACTTTCTTGACTCATTATAGTATGTTCTAAATATATATTTCTTGTCTTTTTAGCTTAATAGGTAATTTAAATGTTATTTTGTTTTAGGAGCATTTGAAGATGATGATATTACTCATGTTGAAGGCAGTGTAGATCCTGTTCGTGACATCGAAATTATACATGAAGAACTTAGACTGAAGGATGAGGAGCTGATCCTGCAGAGCATAGATAAGCTTGAAAAAGTAGCTGTAAGAGGAGGAGACAAGAAATTAAAACCTGAATATGTAAGTACATGACCTATGAAAGTAAATCATTAAGTCTTGTCAGCATTGAATTGAAATATTTGTATTGTTGGGTTTTCTTATTGATCCCACGTGTGTAATACAAAACTCTACTACTATTTTTATATGTATTTTAAAGTAATTATTATGAGTTGAAAAAATACTAGAATGACTGGCTGTGCTGTCAGTGTAAGATTTCATAGATGTAGCTAGTTGTAACTTTTGAAATTCAGCTGTTATTTTCTTGCTGATACAGCTTTGTATGCGAATTGCCAATCCTTTGTCAAATTTACATCAGTGTCTAAGTTGTAATTCAGAGTTACTTCTGACTTATTCCTGCTGTTAAGTTCTAGCATTATGTTGATATTAGTATTCCTGTAGCCAGCAAGTGAATGTATTTTTGTTTTGTGATTGCACTTTGTGTCTTTTAGTGCATGTTAAATAGAGATTGCTAGTTGAAATTAATTTTAGAATGTTGTTGTAGAAATCTGCTTAAATGAGCTCAGTTATCACAGGGTAGTAGTGATGTTTCTTTGTAAATTAGTAATGTATAATAACTATCAACTTCCAAGTATATTTTTTGCAAATTGTTTTACTCCTACTTGTCTTTTGACTCCCCTATGCTTTGCCAATAGTCATTCATTTTTCTTTGTCATTAATATTCTATAAATATTTCAGGTGATATATAAAATGCATTTTCTAATTATTACAACAGTTTATCAGTGCGGAAATAAATTATTTATGTCTAGCAAGTAATATTAAGAAGATACTGTTTTCTCAGATGGATTTTTTTGATACCAAGTGTTACAGAGCTTGCAAGGGTTGCAGGGTGAAGAGAGAGGTGAGGATGTTGACCTCGTGTCCAGAAGGCTTGATTTATTATTTTATGATATATATTACATTATGACTATACCAAAAGGAATAGAGAGAAAAGTTCTCAGAAGGCTAGCTAAGCTAAGAATCGAAAAGGAATGAATACAAGGGTCTGTGTCTCAGCAGAGAGCAAGAACAGCTCTGCTGTGAGTGGTCAGTAAATCCAAACATCCACCCAAGACCAGTCACGGATCCACCTGTGGAATTCCACAGCAGCAGATAACCATTGTTTACATTTTGTTGCTGAGGCCACAGCTTCTCAGAAGGGGGAAAAATCCTAAAGAAAGGATTTTTATGAAAAGATGTCGGTGACAACCAAGTAAGAAGAAAAACATTGTTATATTGGTGCTGCCAGGTTAATTTATCAATATTGAAGTGCAGTGAAATTTGTTGACCCTGCCTAGTGTCTGGAAACAGACAGGAGCTGAAAATGAACACCTCCCTCCAAAATATTCTGCTCCATGATGCAGTGTTATAAGCACTTCCGTGGTAGCTTCTGTTGGTGAAGAACTAGTCTTCATCTGGCATGAAAACTGTTTTATTTCTTGATTTGTCTAGGCCAGAAAAAATAGCTATTGTTGGAAGATTTAAAGGCTTTATGTAAGCCCAGAGAGAGAGAACCTTCATTTAAGAACCTTCATTTCAGGTCTTATCTGTCATGTCAACCCAGCCCTGAGTACATGTGGGCAGCGATTTTTATCTTTCACAAAAGGTTTTGCATGCTTAGACGAACAGTGCAGTTTATGCCTGCAGTTTCAAATAGCGTCCACACAGTATTTCACCTTTTAATTCATGTTAAAGAAAGGGGCAAGCAAAAATCCTGTCCGTAGCGAATTCAAAGTTCATCCTAAAGCTACATTTCACATTGGTATGACAGGATGAAAATGAGGAGTGCTGTGATGCTGTTCTGCCCAGCCTCGAGCTCTTCTCACTCACTTTGTTGTGTGGCTGTCTTTGGAAACAGCTTTGCTCAGCTCCTTGTGATGGAACATTCCTATCTAGTTTTTGAGTGTACCTCTGTGGATGCTTTGAGGATTTTATATCACAATGTATGTTCTTCATGTGTGAAGGAAGAAGATGACACTTTTGTGATTACAAAGAATCATAACTGAAGTGTGTTTTAAATAGAATTTGTAATAGTGATCAGGTAACTTGATGGGTGGTAGGTACCTTTATGATTGTGTGATAGGAGTTGTTCTTAGCCATTTTTTAACTACAGGAAGTTGGTATGTCTTTGAAAACAGAAAATATCAGATTATCCTCAATTTAAGGGAGACAGTAAATAAAAAACTTCAAATCTAGAAATGCAATTTAGATTAATTAAAGAAAAATTTCAAATCTTTATTATTCATCTTTTTTTACCCAGCTTCAGTTTCTCCTCCATTTCATTGTCTCTTCCTTCAGTCTCCTTACTATTACTTCATCTGTTGTTCACCTGTCAAAATGACTTTGTCACCTTGTATTTGTAACACACTTCCTGTCATTTGTTATGTTTCCTTAATCCTGTTTTTATGAGCACATGCACAGAAAAGATCAGGTTCTTGACGTCATGTTGCTCTGCCCGTTCTGTTCCCAATAATAGCTGTTACACATGACCAGTCTCAGCTGAGTTTGTCAACAACAACAGAGGTTTCAAAGGCGTGAAATTCCTTTGTTTCATGGGAGGGGGTGGTTAAACAGTGGGGAAGCACAAATTAATGCTTCCCTTGAGACAAAGACTGCACGGAGGAACTATAGTCACTAGGGAATCTCTTCAAGGAAATGGGGGGCATAATGCCTCTGAATCTTGCTGATCTTGGACCTTCTTGCCTCTCTTCCCTGTGACTTGCATACTTGAATTGTAATGTATATACACTAGACTTCATAAAGTGGACATTTTTGGTGAAGGCCTGTGAAACCTCCTTTCTTCTCCTGGTAAATCAATCCTTAGGTCCAGTCATGCAGCTTCTAGAAGCGGGTTTGTGTAGCTGTAAGACTGTAACAGCTGCTCTTGGGCATTTCTGGCCACTACAGGGCTTCAGGTGTTCATCCACTGGGTTGGGAGGCACTTCTGTGCAGTTTGCTTTGCCTCTTTTCCTTTCATGTTTTGGCTTGCACACAAGGCCTGTGCTTGCATTATATATAATATATTATAGTACACTATAGCAGGATTGACTATGCAGTAAATGATTTACAGGTCTAGGAGGGAAACCGTGTGGGATTCGTGAAAAAAGCAGTTAAAGATTATTCCATCTTCCTAAAAGGGGTAGCCAGACGTTAGGAGTGTATTTTGGCAGTTTGGTCAGTCTGCACTTCCCCAGTCCATTGCACTCTGCATTTAGCTTGTTTGTCACAGAGAGAGTTCCCTGTCCAGCACAGTTTGTGATATTTCCATGCACTTGCAGCTACTGTTCAAGGCTTGCTTTTTCTAGTTAAAAAAAAAAAATTATGAAGAGACAGTATGGCCTGAAATGAATCCTTTTTTCCAAACAGATTGTCTTCAAAAAAATAGAGGATGGGACAGGACTGGGAGACAACTTCTCAAGATTTGCCTTTTAAAATTATTTGCCAATATAATGCACAGCCATTGCTAATATTCTGTTCTTAGGAATATTTTTCTTCTGCAGCAGAGATGAGGAACAAACAGCTCTTGTCTGTGCACCAAGTGTTCCCAGTCATTTTTCCTTTCAGGAAAACCAGGAGGTTATGAAAGAAGACTTGATCTTCATGGATTGTTTTGGTTTTGTTTTTAAGCACTATGTTAAAATTTTAGTATCTCTCTTTTTTATTGTTTTCTTTCCTCTATTCCTTTTGGAACAATTCAAGGTGAAGATGCTTGAGAGTGTCTCAAGAATTTCAAGTGGTTGAGAGTTATAGAAGTCATTTCTCTCATTTTATAAATATGAATTGTCTGCTTTAGGATATTCGCTTTATCAATAAGCCACCACCATTGTAACTTGGTAGTCTAAAATCTCCAAAAGGTTTAGGAGGTGAAAAATAAAAAATTGACTCTATATATCAGTCAGCAAGACTTAAATCTGAGATTTGTACTTGATTGCCTGCCTTTTGCATGGTGTCATAACTTGTTAATTATCATTTTTCCTCTGTGAAAGCCTACATTGCCTACAGGTGGTAAATTTACCTTTGTGCAGTGACCTGGCTTGGCAGTTGAATTAACTGTTTGTCCTGTCTCTCAGAGAATTTATCCCCTGTCAGCAGAAATAAAATAGCTGACTGTTGTTACGGAGCTATCAATGAAATAATTTTCAAGTTCTACTTAAAAATCAGTGGCACAATATGGTCCAAGATCACCAACATGTAATGTTGACATAAGCTTGGAATAGCTTCCTTTACACATTTATTGTCTGTTTTGCAAGTATTCCCACTGCCTTCTCAGAAATGGCTGTTTACTGTTACTAAGGGTACTAGTCTTTCAGACTTTATATACCTTTAAATATTATTTTGGCTATAACCTTCTAAAGAGATATTATAGAATAAAAATACTCCTGTTATTTGCATGTATTAAAACATTGCAGATATAATTTCAGAAAGCAGTAAGAGTACTTTTGATTTTATATTTTAAATCTGTCTGATGATGGTATATGCAGAGACATTAGATAGATATTGAGTTAAACTTTATTATTAGCTTATTATTGATCTGTCATTTTGGATAGCAGGGAATTTCAAAGTAAAATTCAAATATGAATGACTTTATAAATCAGAAGTACAAATGATAAATTCAATCTTAAAATTATTTTTTAATTGGTGGGATTTTTCAGTCCTGGAGACAAGTCTCTAAGTTAATACTATCTAATACAGTGAAGTGAACATTATTTCAGGATTCTCTTGCAATGTCCTTCCTGCCTGGTTCAGTTCTAGTCCTTAGAATTGACAGCTCTGCAACAGGTAGCTATTCCTTGAGCCCTTTGTCAGTGCCCAAAATCTTGAATTCCAGCACAGAACAATTCTTATGTTAACAGAATTGAGATCTACATATCTGACTATAAGGCTGTTGTTTATAGTTGAGCTGATGCAGATTTTTGATGTTAGTGATATGAAGACACAATCTTTAGGTCAGAATCAGTGTGCAACAGTGTTTGACCTTCCAATTCTCTGTTGAAAGGCAGCTTCTACAGTAGATCAGGATCAGC